ACGCAGGGAGAGTGTATGAAGATTTGGACTAAGCTCTCTTGAATACTCACATTTTATGAAACTAATTTGTATTCATGTGTGCGCATGGTAAAAATAGAGCCCAAAAAAATTAAATAATTTAAAATTTTTTCTGAGAATCAATAAATGTGGATCTATTTTATTTACTTGCCTCATTTTGAAAAATTGTAGAGGATTGCTTCTTTTTATCCTATCCTTCATATACAAAACAACGTCATCCTTCTTCTGTTTGGGAATCATATATATATATATATATATATGTGAACATTAATTGAGGCAAAAACACTAGGTGCTGGAGGCATAAACTCCAGGTGCCTTCTATTTATTTGTCCATATTTTTGTGGATAGAGTTATCCGATACTTGTGTTTGGCAGGGGTACTTGTACTGGTGGGATGTAGTAGGTATCTCATGGACTCAGTGAGGTGTGCAAGCTAGCCTGGACACCAGTGGTTATATGAAAAAACATAGTTATAATCAAACTCTTTAGGAGTAATATGTTGCAGGAAAATAATGATATAATGTCCTTTATGTTGTTGTACATGATTGCTCAAAACAGAATGGTTTGATGGGAATAAAGAATTAAAAGAGAAAAACTAGAACACTGAAATACCAAGAGATTGAGACTTTGACAAGTAGGTATGGACGTTATTTAAGTTCCTCACAGATTCTTCTCGTCTGAGTGTTGTATGGCTAAATGGTTTGATTCAATGTGTTCTTACAGATAGATTTGAGAACAGACACTGCTACAGAGCTTTTTACTTGCCAACCCCTGCGGATGAGGAGATATATGTCTGTACTTCATCTAAATGCGATTACGATAGATCCAAGAAAACCCTATTTGTTTGCTGTTGCTGGATCAGATGAATTTGCCAGAATTTTCGACATTCGCAAATATAAGTGGGATGGATCCACTGATTTTGGCCATCCAGTTGACTATTTCTGTCCCCCACATCTTGTTGGTGATGAGAATGTGGGGATAACAGGTTTGGCTTTCTCTGACCAGAGTGAGCTTCTTGTTTCATATAATGAAGAGTTTATTTATCTTTTCACAAAGGACATGGGGCTGGGACCTGATCCATCCCCTACATCGCCATTGTACAATGAAAGTGATGAGGGCGAAATGGGCCAAGATCACGAATCTGATGAATCTGCAATTGTCATGGAGTATGGAGCAAACATTGGTCCACAAGTCTACAAGGGGCACAGAAACTCTGAAACAGTTAAGGGCGTGAACTTTTTTGGGCCCAAGTGTGAATATGTTGTGAGTGGATCAGATTGTGGTAGAATTTTCATATGGAAGAAAAGGGGTGGGGATCTTGTTCGTGTTATGGAAGCAGATAAGCATATAGTGAACTGCATTGAGTCCCATCCTCATACCGCGATGCTTGCCAGCAGTGGAATTGAGAATGACATAAAAATATGGACTCCAAAAGCCACTGAAAGAGCTATTTTACCTACAAATATTCAAAAGGTACGTGATATCAAAATAAAGATTCAATTATGAAGCACATAAGATTATTTATTGTAGGCTCTTTAGCTTGTGCGTCTTAACAATTTTGTTGGAATTAATACAAGAGTCACTTCTGTTGATGCACGCTGGAAGGGGGAGGTGTTTTAATTGTGCTTAATATCTCATGATTTTATCATTGGGCAAGTGTAAGAGCATCTGAAGGGTTGCTTCACCTTTTGTGATCACACACCGACTCGGGCAATCACTTGCTATAATCGATGGAATTTTGATTGAAATTTAATAAATTTGGTTCACCTTTTTAAGGCATTTCTCAGGACAGTAGGGGTAAATAAGTTATCCATTAGCAAGCCCTCCTTGATTTCAGCTGCCTTACCTATCCTGATCACGTACAGCTAAGCTAGTAATCACACAACATTTAGTCAGATTGCTACTTATTTGGAATATTACCATATGACAAATGGTCCATAATTGTTGTATTCAAACTTCGTACCTAATATATATTGAAACACGAAATTAGTAGAATTATCAAATCCTGAAATTTAAATGGTTCTGTTTCAGTTGCATCCCTTATTTCACTTAGATCTCATTTGTTTTCATTAAGATTACAACGTCTAAATTTGAATGCACATGATGTACATTCAGATTTTGAGGTCTGAATCTGAATACGCATCTGAATATTCAAATGTTGCATTAAGATCTAAATACTGAATAATTAAACTGTTTGTTTTCTCAACATTTGAATGTATAAAATTTGTCTTTGTTTGAATAATAATAAATAGAAAATTTAAATAAAATGCTAAATTGATTTAATATTATATTAATATAATATTTTAAATTTGTACATGGCAATTGGCGCCGATGATTATTAAGATGGTGATTGTGTGTGTCGATTTTGGATGGAGTCGACTGATGGGGTGGCTGTGGATAGTATTATATGGTGTAGTGATTGATAGTAGTGATTGACATTGGTGGTTATTGACGGCGGCAATAATTAGCTGTGAAATAATAGTGATGGCTAATGGCAGTGGTCAGTGATGATGACGGTTAACAGTATATAATGTTGACCAATTGTAGTAATTATCAGTTGTGATTAGTGGATGTAATAATGATTGGTCGTAATGATTGCAAATGGTGGCTAATGGTGATGATGATTGGTTTTGTTGATTGACGATAATGGTGGTTGTGGGTGGGCTGAGGATAGTGGTTGTGGGAAGGTAGGTGGTGGTGATTGATGGTTGTTGAAAGTGTTTGGGTAACTTAAAAAGTATCAAAAAAGGGTGAAAAGCCAAAAGTTGGGCTTGCAAGTCACTTTTAAAAAGCCCATCGAAACACCCCCAAGACTTTGTTATAGATTAAGAGCGTGTTTGACATAGCTGCTAAAAACTGCTTATTTGTAGAAGTACTTTTTGAAAATGACTGTCCATAGAAGTGTTTTTAAATATCTATTTTAATTTTTTTTAATTCAATTAAAATGTACATATTGGTAAATATTTATGTATTGAAGGGATATTTTAGGCTTGAAAAAAAATTATTCTCTTTCTGTTTCTGCTTTTCTTAAGTAGAAACTTTTAGTTTCTTTCCAACAACACTTGTGCTTCCGCTTCCATTTAAAAGCACTTTTACTGCTTTGCCAACTGCTTAATTTTTGAAAGAAGTGTTTTTCGCCTCCCAACAGCGATGTCAAATAGGCTCCAAGATCTAAATAATTAAAATTTAGACCTTGAAAACAAACCGACTTAATGAATGAGATTTGAATGATTAAATATAAGACATTTATTAAGTGCATTGAACCTAAGTTATAAACAAACTGGATTTTACCCACAAACTTGACTTCAAAGGTGTCAAAGGATTGAACTAAGACACTTACTATAGTTAACTTATTTCCATCTTGTTCTGATCATTCTAATAAGAGATGAATGTAAGGCTGTTTTCAACCCTTGTACTCTGGGGATTTTCCTGCAACATCACTAGAAGAAGAAAGCCACAAAAGTAAATGTGGTCTCCCTTAACCGGAAAAAAGAACAAGAAAGAACCTAACTAGAGGTACTTGGAATGTTTTTGAGGAAGGTGAAGCAGGATCACCAATCTGGAAACCAGAAATTTTAAAAAGATTTAGGTAGTTCAGTCATCAGTGGAGTAGCTAATTTGTCCTATTTCTGGTGTGTAGTCCTGATCCATATTTGTGCATTTTCCATCATTATATTTATGCCATAAGTCTTTTATTGACATTTCGTATGTCATAGAAAAAACTTGGGACATATACGTTTGTTAATACCTTATCTGTGTCCACTGTAGAGTCAAATATCTCAAAAAAGGGTCTATCTTGAACTGACACAGTCGCTTGTTATCCATTGTGGTCCTGATCCGTTTCTTGGGTGTGATAAAGTTCATGCATGTGATTAGTATATTATCCAAGAAAATGATATTAGATGGCAAATTTATGCTATTTATCTTATGGAAGCATAAGTAGCTCTATTTAACTGCAAATATTTCTATTAATTAAGGGTTCAACACCTCATCCATTTCATTTATTCGATTATGGCGGTGCGGAAGATAATGGCATCTACTTCTTTGATACCGGAAGTGACGATGAGTATGGTGGTAGTAGTGACAATGAGGATGAAGATGATAGTGATATGGATGAAGATGAAGATGTTTTCTCCGATGGTATGGATGATGACGATGATGACAATAGTGACGATGATGACGACGACAACGATGATGATGATGATAGTTTTGATTTTTTAGATATACCCGATGATGGAAATGGTGTTGAGTTCTTTGAAACTGTTGGGGACCCTGATTTTGACGATTCCTCAGATAATGACCAAGATGCTCCCAGTGATTCATGTTGTGATGATGATGACTCCAATGAAAATGACATTGATGAGTGATGATGTTGCAACAGTAACATGGATTATGATACTTCTCGTGAAAGATGATATTATGCCTGTTACATGTGCTGATGAATTTGCACTTTGTGTTTCCAGCAGAGACCTAAAGCAAGGGGTTGGATGCATCACATGGCTTCTCCAGAGGACCTAATGTTGCAATTACTTTCCCAGCAAAGACAGAGAACAAACCTGGGGAGCATTGAAGAAAATTCAGAGGTTGGAAGGGAGCTTCTGCAACTCATTTTGACATTTAATGCAAATAGTGACAGTTCTTCTGATGATGGTGAAGATACTACAAGTGGTCAAGACTCTTTTGACTGAGTGGTTTGGTTGCAACTTTAATTCAATACATGTTTAGTAAGTGTACATATATAAGATACTGAATAAATCAATATCTTTTAACTTTTGATGTTTGTTTTTACTTCGCAAGTTCCTTTTTAAATTGAGCCGGTATTAATTGTTGTCTATTCCTTGAATTATTATGCTTCTCTTTGTTGGATGCGATGGAATATGCTGCAAACGCAGTGTATTTCCCTCGGAAAACTATTAATTTACTTAATGTGACAGGTAAGATATTTTTCATACATCTATTGAATTTTACTGCAGGGATGATGTGTCAAGTATTAGAAGAACATCAGTATATCTCTCTTTTAAACTTTTTTCTTATTGATTTTTTTTTTTGGATAGATGGAGAGATTTGATCCAGTTTCATGTTTATATTTGTGCTGAGGGGGGATGAGCCTACAATGTTTTTACCCTTTAGAGGTCTGATCTTTGCTCTTTAAAAGACAGGGATTACAAGGCGTGGAGCCGAACTTTCACCAACTTGACATGAAAGAAGTTAGTTTTTGTTTAATTAGGTACTCTGTTAATCGAAAAAACTAAATGTGCTATGCCGCCTCGTGTTGACAAGAAAAAAAAATGGAGAAGAGCTTTGCTGTGAGCCTTTAATTCATAGATAGAATTAATACAAGCAAATCTGAAGAAATTATTAGCTAATAACTGCTAAAGAAATAAGCAGATATTATGCAATCAAAGTTTCAAAAATGGGAAATTTTTTATCATTCTTCTTATAATGTTCCTCTTTACCATAGGATATATTTGACAAATCCAAATTTGAGGACTATGACTCGTTACTCATTGCTCATCTTGCTTCACTATTGTTGGAGTATTTAAAAGCTTGAAAACTCTCAAATTGGTTTTGAATTTTTTCATTTTTTTAATTGTGGTTTATTGGAGTGTGATTTCAATTTTCAAAGTTGTAGTTCAAAATTTAAAGTTATTTAAGAAGAAATAGACCCATTTCAAATGGAGTTCCATAGTTGAAGTTCATAAGAGACCAAGCACAAGTTTTGTATAAATTAACATTTCAAAAGTGTGTATAAGCACCTCTTATACACTTATATACAAATTTATGTACTGCAATTGTATAATGTTGTATAAGCACTATTGCAAAAAAAAAAAAAGGATTAGTCGTGTGTATGGGTGAATGCCAAATATATGCTATGAAATGTAATTATTATTTGTGCGTATTAGAATGTATTGTTTTTTTGTAAGAATCCCTATTATAAATGTATCATTTATATTTTCATTGATTTTTTCCCTGACTTACTCCTTTCATCAGATTTCAAAACGAATGAAAAAGGATCAACTCTTATTAGTTAACTATTGGCATTATCCTCTCTATCAATGTTTTCCTAGTTTAGGAGATTTAATAGAATTAATACAAGCAAATTAAAAAAAAATACTTCTCGATATAACTGCTAAAAAATTATGCACGGAATATACAACAACCAAAAAAAAAAAAGTTTCAGACATGGAAAATTTCCTCTATGTGACACTATTACTTGTCATAATCTCAAACATCTCAGTTTCATCAAATGCTAACTTTCATCTTTCTCTCAATTACACATCCATTTTGCAAGCCAGAAAAAATTTCATGTCTCTTGATACCTCCAATCTTTCTTATGATTCACCATATTCTTACAGTCTTCCCATTTATCATCGCGATGTATTTGAAAAATCAGACTTCAAGGATTATGACTCATTACTCGATGCTCGTCTTGCTCGATGCATGGAGAGATCAGTGAATTTATCTTATCAAAATTCTAGCAGAGATTTTGCACAAGTTTACCCTATAAAAACAGTAGTCTATCCTTTGCAAGGTGAAGTTGTAGTCCCCCTTTGGATTGGATCTAAATTACAACGTGAACTTTTACTTGTTGACACTGGAAGTCGTCATGTTTGGTGGCAATGTGGTCCATGTGAACAAAAAAAATGTTACAAACAAAGGAGCGACGATTTATATTATTCAACTGAATCCACTACTTACCAACAAATTGATTGTGTGAAAGAGAGTGCAACTTGTATGGAGGGAAGTAGTTTAGTTCATTGCTCTAAAGAAGAAACAAAATGTTTTTATGAAGTAAAATATGGATATTATGGAAGTACAATTACTAGTGGATTTATGGCTTACGAGATCATAACATTTTCTAATATATTAGATTATGCAAGAATTATATTTGGTTGTGGAAAAAATCAATTTAAGGGGGATACAAAATTTCCAAAATTATTTAGTGGAATTGCTGGTGTTGGTGGTGGTTTATATACAAATGGATTTGAGACATATTCATTACCATCACAAATTGGTGCAACTGTATTTGCTTTTTGCATTCCTACTCCAACTTCTGGCAAGTCCTCTACACTTACCTTTCACGAAACTCCTTGGAAAACAGGTCGGTCAGTATTTCCTTCTTTTTTTTTTTTTAACTTAACACAGAGTTTAAGAAACTAAATATATATATGGTGTTTGTTTATTTATTATTTTAACAACAGGTATAACGGCAAGTCTGATGAGGAACAACAAGTTTCCTTCATTTTACTACATATCAAACTTGGAAAAAATAATGATTAATAATAGGGAAGTTCCTATTGATCCATCTAATTGGGATTTGGGGCCAGATAAATATGGTGGCATATTTATTGATTCAGGAGCCTATGTTACCTCATTTCCTGAGGATGTTTATGTCAAATTTAGGGATATATTTAGGTCACAAGTTAAAAATATGCAATTGGATCCAAGTTCACCAACTTCATTTGATACTTGTTATATTATGGGTGGTGAATTTGTTAATTGGGATAATTTTCCAGTTGTAAAATTTTATTTTAAAGGTAGTGGAATACCTCTTGTAGTGAAACAACAACAAGTGATGATCGTATATAGGAAAAAATACTGTTTGGGGTTTCAAAGTTCAGGTCGTAAGAGGTCTGTAATAGGTGCTAATATGTTACAAACTTTTGGATTGACATTTGATCTTGAAATGTGGAGGTTGACTTTTTCTCCTGATGCTTGTGAATGAATAAAATACTATAACTTGGAGTATTCAAATGTGAGATGATCAATTACTATGAATACAAAAACACCTTTATACATTATTGGAAATTGCATGTATAAAATGGATTTTAGATATACAAATTAATATACAGTTTGTTGATATTATTTTCCTTCAAGCCTCCTAGCAAAGGACATCCCTGATTTTGTGTCTTGAATTATAGGTACCAAACCAGCTTATCATCATGCTAGGTATAATTGCTATAAACTGCACAAAACATTTGACGAAATGCATCCTTAATGTTGCACAATACTCACTAATGTATCCATAATATTAAAAAATATTTATACAATCATATCACTTGAATAACGAGCAGATTGACAAATATTAAACTAAATTAATTGTTTACCCAAGCAAGGCCGATGCACAACATACTAAAACCAGGATAATCAAATGGAGCTCTCTCAGATAAGAAAAGATCTATAAACATATAAATTGAATGTTGTTAGTTTGACATCAAATATTAAAAATTCAGATCAAATTAATTTAATATAGTTGAAATCACCTGTCAAAGGACTAAATATAAATGGAGAGAGAATGTTTGCAAAGGAACCTACGCCAGAAAGGCACCCTTGAAACCGAAAAATCGTATACATATATATATGTCACTAAGTTCACTTATATGGATAGTTACGTACAACTATCTTTTAATTAATTAGATATTGTAGAAATATTTTAAGATGTTAATGTCTAGAAGTTTAAACTCGTATACCTGTTCGTTTGGCCCAACTTGTTTTGAAACAATGCTTTGTAACTAAAATAGAAAAAACGTTTATCATTAATTATTAAACTATTATGAAATCAATCATCAAATAATCAGACTTTTTTTTTTTGAATTATACAACAGAAAACTTACAGCTGGTTTTGCTAGGAAGAAAAACATAGGAAACAAAGCAACTACATAAGGAACCTGAAATATATCACGAAAAATTGTGATTTAAAAAGAAAAAAAAAGAAGAAGAAGAAGAATCAAAATTTGAATTTCAAGCTTTAACTTACCCAAGCTGCCCATGCAATGCTATCTATTAGCATCTGCAAAATATAAAATTATATATACAAATATCGGTCAATTACTTGTTTTCCATAGTTTCAATTTACGTTTGGATGGACTATATAATCATTTGATTTTGAACCAAAAGGTGGATGACAAGGGTATTTTGAACCCAATAGATGGGTAGAAAGGGTATTTTGGAACCAATAGGTGGATGGAGGATAATTTTGTACCATTTCCAATATTTTAAGGATATTTTAGGCCCTTTTGCGTTTTAAATATATATATATATATAGGAAAATATATTTCAGGAATAAAAAATAAGAAAGTAGATGAATTCGTAAAAAGATGCATACATTGCTAAAACCAGCTATGAGTGCCAAGGAAAGTATTGTCTCTTCTCTGATTATACGAGCCAACTTGGGCAATAAGATTAACTGCTCCAAGGAAATACAAAATTATTATGAGAACAATTAAAATCTTTTTTTTAATGAATTTGAACGTGTACTTGAGAAAATGTTGTCCCGCCGTAGCAAATAAGCATTAGCATAGAAAAATTGTCTTTGTTGTATTGAAATCGAGCCCTTAAGAAGTACTACAATATAATAATACAAAAAAATATGTTAGTTGTAAGGTAATTAATTAAATTATATATTCAATTGACAATTTTAGAGAGATGAGAATTACCAGAAATGGTGATTGTATTCCACCCTCGCCAAGACCATATAAGATTGAAATTAATGTTGCCAATAAAAGTGTGGTACTGCAAAAATAAAAATTTAATTAAATGAATATGAGAAAAATGCATAAGTAAATAAGATTCGTCTCAATTTTATAGATATGTACACTTTAATTTAATTTCTACTTAATTAATTAATTTGAAATTAAGCAACAGATGATTAATTGATTGATTTTTTAAATGTTTTTTTTAAGAAACAAGTGACAGATCATTCATAATGAGCCAAATTATTAATATCTCGATATGTCGTATCAAACTTTTTATGAGCGGAAAGGCCTAAAATACTTCTAAAGTATTAGAAATGGTATGAGATCATCCTTTATTCATCTATTGGCTTAAAATTATCTTTCTCATCCACATATTGGGTACAAAGTATCCTTGTCATCCATCTTTGGGTTCAAAATTAACCACTTCTTTAATGATTTTAAATTTAAATTTTTTAAATACTATTTGTTATAATTTAATTTATTAGTATCACGTATAAACCAACCCACTACACACCCAGTTAATAAATTAATTCTAATATCAAAATCATCATAAACACGACGAAATTACATATTCCTGAAATAACATTCAAAATTATTCGAGTCATAATTGAAACCCCAATTAAATTTAGATTGAGCCACTTATTTAGCATTACATTTTCAATAGGATTTTCTTTCAACCGTAAATTCGAAATTTATGATTAAAGGTAAAGAATTAGTACATCTCGAATTAATTCATGCAATTTTTTTAAATATAATTTTTAGATATTTATGATTTGTTTTAGATATTAAACTTTAATACATTTTTTTAAAAAAAAAGTTATCCATTAAATATCATGACATAATTGAGACGACGGAACAATTAATATGAACATAGTCAGACTTTTATGTTTATCGCTAATTTTTATGTAGACATTTGAATTATAAAATGTTTTGATTGAGGACTTGAATGTATGATAATATCCTTCTATAGACATTTTCGCTTCAAATTTTTAAAAACATTCACTGAAAGTTGCTTTCATGTTGTTACATTAATAATGGGACAGGTTTATTAATTGGGTGGGTTTAATTAGTAATGGGTGGGTAGAAGATTGACTTATAAATTAAATTATATAATCAATAGTATTTTTAAAAAAAATTAAATAGTTTAAATTTAAAACCGTTAAATAAGTTGTTAATTTTGAACTCAAAGTGGATGACAATAGTATTTAAAGTCAATAGGTGGATAAAAAGGTTATTTTGAAGTCAATAGGTGGATAGAAAATAGTTTTCTATACCCTTTATAATAATCACAGAGTATTTTAGTTCCTTTCCCGCTTTATCAAACAAACTTTTTAAGAGATAAAATAACCATTGCCCACAACTCTTGTGTCTTTTTCAACAGCAATATCATTATTCTTACGCAATAGGAATATTATATGCCATAATTTAAAGTAACTTTATGATTTTTTCAACAACAATATCATAATTCATAAGACACCAAAAGATGGTGCTAAGCTTTATTTATCCTTTATTAATGCATAACGAAAGTCTTTTGTTTTGAAAAAAGGGGAAAGAAAATTTGGTTGAATTATCGATTTCAATCAATAAATAAGAAAAGGAAAAGGTAGTAGTCATTAAGAGCAGCCATATTACCTAGTGTTGAGCAAGTTAATAATTTGGTGAACTGTTGTTCCCTCTGAGTGGTCACTTTGATGGTTGGCTAATATGGATTGATTGAGAGCATCGTAGTTGTTAATGTTGTCCTTTAGGAATATTGTCATGTATAATAGCGCAGCTGATGAAGAAATTGATGACACCTTCATTCCAATAACAAATTACTACTACCCAGCTATAACATATACTTACGTAAGAGCAAAAGAGTCATATAAGAGTGAAACAAACCAGAAATATTTGTGCAGTCGAAAGGAAACGAACAACAAAGTTAGAGCATAAAAATGCAGCAGAGCCTACACCCGCCAGAGTTGCGATAGCAGAAGCGCGATTCTCCTCTGACATACAATCAGCCTGAAGAAAGAAAGAAAGAAAGAAACGAATTCAAAATTTAGAATGAATGATAGTTTGAGCTAAAATAATATTACCGCATAAGCAATGGAGATGCATTGAATGCCAGTATCACTGAGCATGCCAGTCAACGTCCTCATCACATAGTAAGCATAAAAATAGTTTGTGGTCCTCCTGTATGCCATTATCACTTGAAGGGAGAAAAAAATAAAAGAAAGGTAAGTTTATTATTTTTGATAGACACACACAAATTAATTATAAATTTGGGCATTACCTGAAGGAAAAATCAAGAGTGTGACTGGAATTGTGAGCAAAGTTTTCCTTCCATAAACATCTGATAGATTTCCAATTAGGGGCATCATCAACATTGATCCCAATCCAATAATCTGCAATCATGCATCATGAATTAATCATACATAGGGAGTATATGTTTTTTTCAATAATGAAATTGGTCTATTTACTTACAGCTTGTTGGAAACCAGAAAGATAAATAGCAAGAGAACACTTGTCTTGAGAAGGACAAATTGCATCCATAGTGATATCAGTAATTGCTGGAGTCACCACATTAAATGCAAAATTTGAGAGAAACACGGTCACAAATAAGTGTTTCAAACGGCTAATCTTTTCCATAGTATCCTCTGCTTCAACTCTTCATCTACCTTTATTTATCTACAAACAATATAGAATTGACAATTTCTTTGTTGGAAGTTCAATCATTATGCCTTATAGTTGGTGAAATGAAATAAATAGTCTCTTCACTATACATTATACATTTATTAATTTTAGTCCCTTAACTATATATTAATTTATCGATTTTAGTTTTTTAATTATATAAAAATTTATTAAGTTTGATTTCTGTCCATTTTTAAAAACAAATAGCTTAGGTTTGTATTAATGGAAATCATGTCTCGAGAAATTAGATCTTTTTAGTAATCTTTTCTGTTATTTCTCTATCTCCGCTATTTTTTCTTCAAATTAACCTTATGTGAAAAACCTTAACTTCAATGATTTAAAATAAAATTCATAAGAAAAGAAAATATAAGTCATAATTTTATTCAATAGATGATAAAATGAAGCATATTATTGCTACTAATGACTTGAATATGTTAAATTTTATCATAAAAAGAAAAAGATATTACCCGTTAAGTTCAAAATTTGTACTCCAATGACTTTATTAAACAAAATTTGTTTAATTTTTCAGAAATTGAAATCTATAAAATTGTAGATTTGCAATTATTTAAATTTTTTTAAATAGATCAATTTCATTATTCTATTCATTTTATTTTATGTAAAGAAATTTGAGTAAATTAAATCAAATCCGCACTGATTAGCATATTCAAGTGAAGCTTCACGTCATTAACAACAAGTATATGCTTAATTTTTTGAAAAACTAATTTCACATATAGCCACTAAAAATTGGTCTAACTATTCTCCATAGCTATAGTTTGATAATTACAATTCGTAGCTACATGTTATAGGGAGGAAAGAGGCGAGCCAGACTGGGAAAGAGAGGAGAGAGGCGAGAGAGAAAGGGCAAAAGGTGGAAGAGAGGTGAATTGTATACGTACATTGGTTAAACAATTGTATATTATACATATGCATTTGTATATTATGGTGAATTATACATATACAAATGTGACTAATTATACAAACTCGAAATCAACTCACATAATTAATGTATAATGTTAGTCGTGAGTGATAATTATACAAACTATAGATATGATGAGTAATTAATTAGTATAAGTTTGTTTAACCGTATAACTTTCCCTAATTTTATCCTCCATTGAATAAAATTAAGACTTATATCTTCTTTACTCATTAATTTTATTTTGAATAGTTGAAGTTATCATTCTTTCATAGGAGTAGTTTGAAGAAAAAGGGTGGGGAAAGAGAAACAACTTAAAAATGAGCTAAAAATTTAATTTCATGAAGATTTCCATTGATATAAACCTAAACTATTTGTATTGAAGAAAAATGAATAATGACCAAATTTGATTTAAAAAATTTGAATATTTAAAGGATTAAAATTGGTAAGTTTGCAGTGAAGAGATTAAAATCGGTAAGTGCATAGTTAAGGGATCAAAAATGAAAAAAATTTGTATAGTTAAAGGACTAAATTTATTAAGTCTATAGTTAAGGAACCATTTTAGACCCACTCCCGTAGTTTAGTTAAGGGATTATTTATGTTATTTTCTGATAATGGAGTAAGCTTTATCCTTTATATATATATATATAATATGTTCAAAACATTCCCATTGTTATTAATACTCTAATCGCACGAACTTCTAACTACATTATACATGGATGAATTAGGTCATGTTCTGCACTATATGGGACCTTTTGAACTACCCATTATTATTTGACAATAATACATCCATTCTGCATGTTTGCTTACTTTATTTGATTTTAAATTTGTTTACGTGGGAACTACTTAGTATCAACATATTAGTTGAATTATTCATGCTTTCCCAGAGTAAAAATTACAGATACTCCTAACAATTTGGACCTAGTTACATTCTATCCCGAAAGTTCTCCAAATTCTAATAATCCCAAATTTTTCAGAACTCACTAATACATTACTCTTTTCCCCTTCCCATGGTCTTCTTTTGAAGTTGGGTTTTGGAATTGGACCTTTGCTGGTGGCTTTATTGGAAGTCCATTCATTTTTCCATTTACATACTAATCTTGTGGGGACCTAAATACTAGTAATGGTGGACAAAACAATCTTTTTAGTAATCATTTCAGTGGAGGTGGCAAAATTAGCAACAAAAAAGAAAATGTGATTTGCCCAGTCTATTGTTGTTCTGGACGGGCTAATGAAACGTTTTTTTCATAAAGGGAAAAGAATATCCCAAAAAGGGAAGCTAATTAATTATATAGATATTTTATGAAATTATCTCTATTTAATTTAAGAATAAGTACTTAATGTTTGATAGTAAAATATGAAAAATATAATTATCTTTTTTATTTTGATATGTCAAATTTAATAAATAAAAATGAAAATCTATTTTAGAATTAAGTAACAAGAAAAAGTGAATGGAAAGAACATAACTTCAGTCCATTATTACTTGTCATTTATATCTAAAATAGATTTCATTTTTTACTTATCACTTTTATCTTTAATATTAAATATTTATTGTTATTTATTATTTAATAATTATAGTTTTTAATGAACGCATCAAAAATTAGAAAATTGCTAGTAAAATTCAAACGGAGGGAGTACTAAACTTGGCCAAACTTACAGACTCAACACTCTACCTCGGTAACTTCAGCCTAACTTTGCAATAATTAGCATAATAGGAGTAATAATGAGGATTGTTTGGTCCCCCTATAGAGTGAATAGGCAGAGGAAAAACTTTATTTTTAAGATTCTAATAATTCATCAATAACCGATTTTGGCCATAGTTCGAACTCTTTCAAAAAAAAAAAAGAAGAAGAATTAATCAGGGTAAGTGAAAGAAAATGAGAAAGATAAAAAAAAATGGAGAATCAAACTACTATTAGAAAAAAGTCCAGATTATCAACTAATTTTACCATTAAAATTCACTACTTCGCAATTCATAAGAGCATGTAAACTTCATTCTGTTTTAATCTTAAACTCCTTTTATTTTTATGTTATAAAATTAAATTAAATACGCATCACTTTAATTAAACTTCACTATACTATTTATTTATATATATATATATATATTAATATTATGCCAATAAAGAAGATGTGTTCCCAGCAAGTTTGGCCGTACGATCGTGATAAATACCAAAAGTACAGAAGCACCGTAAAATTACTTTAATTAAAAAATAATAAAAGAAAAAGTAACAACAAAAAGATAGTGGATCTACTTTATAATTTTGCTTGAAAAAAGTTAACAAAGTATCTTTAACAGTTGTCAATCTTACATTTTATAAAGACAGATCACATACATTTGTCTTTCAGTGGACTATTCAAATTTCGAACATTATTTATTTTTCTCTTCATTATTGAATATCTTTTAAAAAATACAATTAAAAAAATAATTTTATTATATTACCAATTACCAATTAATTTTATAAAGTGGATCAATATTATTGGAAATTTCAGAAAAATATAGTGGATAAGAATTGTTGACGTGAGAATTTTTATTTTTTTCAGTGTCAAATAGTGTAAGTTATATCGAAAATTTATGTATATAATGTTCATATTTTTAAATGTAATTTACATATTTTTAAACTAAGTAAAAATATATTAGGATAATTGATAATTCAAAATATTTAAAAGATAATCATATGAAAAATTACAATTAAATATAGATTTATTTAAATTTTAAAATTTAAAATATGTCAAATAAATTGAGACAAGAGAATAATTATTTTCTCACAAAACAAAATTGTCATATCCTCCATGTAGGTATTTAATCTTCAATTTTCGTGGGACGGTTTAGGGGTCATTTGGTAGATCGTATTGAAACAAGTCAATGTAAGGTATATAATATTATTTAGTACTATGCTTGGTAGGAATTTAGGTCTATATATAATATCATGTATTAGTTATATCTCCTACATGGTATTATAAGATGTATTACTAATACCTTCCATTTGAAAGTATCAATAATACATAAGATATAATAGTCTTGGATAAGTTTACGTAAAGACAAAATTATCTCTAAAATCATTTTAATTATTTTCTTGATTTTATGTTTTATATTTGTACTAGTAAGATTTATTTGAATAAATTAGCTTACAAATTCATTAGAGAAAGTTGTTTGTTACTAAATAAATCAAATACAAATAATTAATACGAAATTCGAAATATGAGTTGTTTAACATTAATTAATTAGAAAGGCAAATGTATCACCACATGACGTTTTTAATGTTAATTGAAATATATATATATATTGACCAATTTATAAAATTGCATACATTTAAAAATTATAACTTGCAATTTTTATATCTAAATGTATATGGTTTATTTATTGTTGATTACCGTCTTTTCAATTTTAAAAGTTAATAGTTTATCTCTTTAAATTGAAAATTGACATTTTGTAAGTGATCAACTTATTAACATGACAATTATTTATTTTCAAATAATTAAATGAAAAAGAAAATCAAACATGACAACAAAATTGTTCTTCTCATAGCTCATTAGAAGGTCATAAAAAATAACAGTGTTGGCGATTATTTACCTTAATCCACTTACATAATAGTTTTAGGATATAATTAGAAATAAGTTTTTGTATAAAATTTTAAACCAAAAAAATAGTGAAATGGGAAACAATAAATAGAAGATTTGATAAAAATAAACTATACATTATTAATTCAAGTATTACTAATTCCTATATTGTTTATCTTCGAACTAAACGACCCCTTAGAAATGAGAAAAAAATTGACGAGTTTAACAAATTGCTTAAATAAAGTCGTCTCAGTGCTTACTTTTAATTGGATTTTCTTTCGTAACAAATCTTGAATTCAATAAAGATGCAATGGAGATAGTGTTATAAAATATTTATCAAAATGCCTTAAAATGAAAAAAGAATCAAGCAAATTAAAATATATATATATATATATATATATATATATATATATATATATGATTTTTAAGTACTAACCTGGGCACATGATTATTCACTTTATTTAAAAATATTATTATTTGATCAAAAAAAAATATATACATTACAAAAACTGTAACGGCTTATATTTACTCGCTTTCATATTCCTACCCTGTCAAAATATTTCTCGATATTTGCTTCTCTAGATTTTCAACTACTTTGAACTTTATTTTA